ACATAGTTCAACTTTGATAATGATTTTGCAGCCATAACACCTGTCACTTGAAAGAAATACTTGTGACTTCTTTTCAGCTGAATCACTCCATCCCCCTGCTCCAGGAAATCTGTTTGTTTCCAGGCCTCACTGACACACAAGTCCCAAATGGAATATGGGCACTTAATTTCCAATGCAGTTGTACCACAGCATGAACATGTCATAATCCCATCAGGACTGGCCCCAATGTTGGGTTTTTCTTTAAGTACACAAAGTCCACTCTTTGTTAACTTGCAGTTTTGGTGCTTTGAAAGAGGCCTTGCATAAAATTCATTATACGCCTCTTTTCTTTTTCTTTGCCCCACCTGACTGATGGGATGTGGTCAATGTTCTGCCATCAAAGAACTAGTTTTGAGACACGAGGAGTTGTTAGTGGTTTGACAGAACCTCGAGCTTTTGCAAGCGAGTCAACTTTTGTGCATACATCTTTAAAGTTCGATGCAGTTATCCGTCCTTTTTTGTGCCTGATCCAAGAAAATGAGTCACTTTGGCCCTTGGTTTCTCGCTTAATTTGGGAAACCTCCGTTGCATTTAAGGGGATAGCTTCCCAAAATCTATTTATAATGTCCTGTTCACTCTCACTACCATCTAATGATGCAGTAAAATTCTCTGCAAATTTAGTTAGTTCTAAAGGTCTGTCCATTTGATTGTGCTTTTCTGACTCTACACTTTTGAAAATTTGTGCATTGGGCCTGATCTGTTTGTATCCAGCCAAGAATCCCTTTTTCTGCTCATCAGTCTCATTCCTTTCCCACTCTTTCCTTGGATCAAAATGTCTCCATTCATCTATAATAATTCCTTCATTTTCTTCATTTCCAGTTGTTCTCTTTTCTTTTCGGATTCGCATGTCCATTATCTTTCCTGGCTGCGCATCACTCCTAGTTGATACATTCCATCCGCAAGGGAGTGATGTACATGATGGATCTGTATGACCATGGGTGAATGCATATTCCACCTTGTAAAGCGATGCAATTATGTGGTTGCATGTTGCACTCGTGCCAGCAATGCATGTGCACCAACCACACAAGACAGTTCCATCTTTCTTGAGGGCCACCCAGACTTCTCTTGGGTCCTCCCTGATACGCTGCGATGGAGTTACCTTGCATTGCAACACGCACTTTCCATCCTTGTTGTCTGCAATAAGGATGGTATCCACAAAGTTACTTTTCCAGGACGAATAAGCTTTTTCATCCTTGTATTTCTCAATGTAATCTGAGACAAACTCTTTGTTTGACAGAATATAGGCAAATATCTTGCAAAGGTCCACTGGTGGCCATTTTGTCATGTCATCCACCCGTGCAGTGTCACTGGATTTAGGATCTGATAAATCGTACTTGCGTAGTCTGTCCTGGAATTCCCTTTCCAAACTGGCCAAGTGTTGCTCTTGGGAAACTTGGACTGGAAGCTTCATTTTAAAGGTAGAAAAAGCTCTTGCGACCAGTTCTACCTTCCGGCCAGTTGTCGACAATCCCCTTAAACTTAGATAGTCCTTGAGGTTTCCCATGGACAGATCCAGAAAATCTTCATACATTTCCATCTGAATGAAACATTGAATGCAATTAGGGCAATGTTCACAGCACAGTAAAAAAAGATCCACAAACTACAGCTTGACTATGACATCAGAGTTAATCACTTTAAGTTAAAAAATCTATATTTATAACGCAATGAGATGCGATTTTCTAAGGCACTAAATTGATTTCAGTGGCTTTTCAGAAAAGCTTAGAGGGGACCTTTGTCTCGATAGACGAAATAAATGTGTTTTTAGTCAAAGTACACTTTGCAGCTTTGTAGCCTTTTTTGAAAAGACTAAGTGAGTTCTATCTTATTTAAGTAAAGATATTGAAATTTTTTTGAATGGCACTCCTATGTATTAAAAATTATCAATTTCTCTTTGATTTGTAGCCTTGTCCGCGCCATATGTACTACCAGCCACTCAAAACCCAGCGGCTGTGCCTGAACAATTGTCTACTTCAACTCCAAGTGAGTATCGTTTCTTAAAAGACTGACTGAGTTCCATCTTATTCAAGTAACGATATTGAAAATGTTTTTGAATTGTGTTCCCATGTATTAAAAATGTATCAGTTTCTTTTTGATTTGTAGCCTTGTCCATGCCATATGCTTTACCAGCCACGCGAAACCCAGCGGCTGCGCAAGGACAATTGTCCACTTCGATTCCAAGTGAGTATCTTTTCTTCAAAGACTGACTGAGTTCCATTAAGAAATGATATTGCGAAAATTCTTTTCTATTGTATTCCCATGTATTAAAAAATTATCAATTTCTTTTTGATTTGTAGCCTTCTACGTGCGAGATGTTTTACCATCCACGCAAACCCCGGCGGCTGTGCCTGGACAATTGTCTACTTCAACTCCAAGTGAGTATCTTTTCCTAAAAGACTAACTGAGTTCTATCTTATTTAAGTAATGATACTGAAATTTTTTTTTCATTTGTGTTCCCATGTATTATATTATTATTATATTATATGTATTGTAGCCTTGTCCACGCCGTATGTTTTACCAGCCACGCAAAACCCAGCGGCTCCGCCAGAACAATTCCGGATTCCAAGTGAGTATCCTTTCTTAAAAGACTGACTGAGCTCCATCTTATTTAAGTAAAGATATGGAAAAATTTTTTTCAATTGTCTTTTCATGTATTAGATTATATCATTTTCTTTTTGATTTGTAGCCTTGTCCACGCCATATTTACCCGCCACGGTGACAAACGCAGAGTCAGAGACATCCTCCGTACCAGGTGATATTTTTTTACGTATAACAATTTCGAAATATCCCTCGTGGTATTTATGCCAAATATCCTTACAAATCATGCTATTACCTATACAAACATGGATTTACAAAGAAAACAGATCGTACAGGTCCACCGACATCAGGGTTTCCGTCATATTTGGCATGCTTCTTTGAACATTCGCTTAACAACGAATCCACGTATCCCTTAATAACGACTTGAGAAGATAACCAGTTTAGATGTATAGGTCTATATTGTGGACTTTATGACTGACTTACACTAGTACTATTTTCAGGCGTCCATTTCATTTCTCGCCACTGTCCGATGGATCGCCGTATGACGCCACAGTTTTGGCTTTCCTGTTCTTGTCGGTGCGAGGAGCATTTGCCCCCGCACCGATAGAGACGTATAATAAAGGCGATTTCGCTCTGAGGGAGGAAGCTAAATCTTGGCCGCTGTTGTGCCACGTAGACAACTCTAGTGGCAAGATAAACGTGAGTCTTAAATCACACATTCTTTTCCATAGAGTTTCCTTTTTTAAGTTCCGCTTGGTTAAAAAGTGCTTGCTACGCAGGACACACAATAGTGGAAAAACTGGGTAGAAAATTGTTCCGAGGTGTAAGGACATCACAAACATGCTTTAACTGCCAATGACTTACAGGTCAAAGGCATGAAAAAAATATGCATCCAAACGGGCAGGATGTAATGATAATTCGGTTCAGTTACTGCTCCATCCATTCATTACAAGGCACAAGGTTTGCATTAGTTATTTGTCTGAGTGCATAATTATCAATAATTCTTTTGCCACTTCTACTGTAAACATTAATTCGGGTGACATGAGAGTATTTATATCCCTAACAATGATGCCATATGGATGTCATTTATATACTTTGGTTTATCGTCTAAGTTTTCTAAAAAAAACTTTATGCAACAAAAACTTCACATTTTATGATAACAAGTCCTTGCAAGTTTTCATTCACAGATGCTGTTCAGTTTAATTTCCATTTATCGCTAACGCTTAAGACAATGCAATCTTATTCCGGTGTTTTTTCTTCTTTTAGACCAACAAACCCCTCAATTACTTGACAAGTCTTTTCAAGAGGGTTGTGGTGAAAGCTGGGTTCGACCCGAGGAGGATAACCCACCACTGCAACAGGTCGGTAAGTTCATTTTCTTTACTAAAACGTGGAGTCATTACTGCATGCGGAACCAATTCGAGGGAAAATAGTTTTAGTGGAAGAGGAGCCTCTGGTATGTTTTGATGGACGAAAGACGTGCTCGCCGACGACTATCCGGAAAAGGAAAATTTCCTCTCAAAAACTGGTTATGATCTTCCTTTATTCTTTTCAGGGATTTGCCACCATGTTTATAATAAATCGAATGGTGGAAAACAATGGGGTCTTCCCGCGGGAAGCAATCTCCACCCCGTGTCGCCTCGCAGGGTGGAGCGAGAAGAGGGGCACATGGGCCCTATACATTAAAGAAGTAATGGAGAGGCACTTAGACTCAAGTGCCTATATCTACAGGTAAACGCATGCATATGGGATATACTTGAAGCGCTTATACGTGCCAATTTTGTATGAAGAAGGGCAAATGCACGATTTATTGAAATGGCTGAGTCTTGCGCGCGGATTGGTAAAGGTGGTAGTGCATTTTTTTCCACTTTCTTCCTTGTCTTGGTGAAAGTGAGACCCCTATTACCTGTGGAAAGAGCCGCAATGTGAAGGGACTGAGAAAAAAGTGCTCAGGTCAACTATCCTCTGGCATTTCATCGAAGATCTAATCAATCAATCAATCAATCAATCAATCAATCAATCAATCAATCAATCAATCAACCAATCAAATCAATCAAATTTATTTAACCACGTAACACCACAAGCTGGTAATTGAACATCGACTGTTGTAATTTTCCTGTTGTGCGATTCAGAAGCGCGGGGGGTTGAGAGTAAACATTAAACCTGTTCAATAGCATCACAGTTCCTAGCTCAAAAACCAGTCAATTTTCCTTCTTAAACTTTTAGTTTCGTATCATCATTTTCAATATTATTGGAAACCCAAACCCGGCAAACATAAATCAGCTTATCGGGCCCGAAACGTTGCCAGGACTATCGAGAAACGGTACCCAAAGTGAAAAGAGAGGTAAACGCAGGATTAAATAAAACTTCCATCATGAAAATAGACTCTTGGAGATACAGTAGAATCCCCGCTTTAACGACACCTCGTTATTACCGACAGTTTACTTTTTCCCTGTTGAAAGAAAGCCCTTGCATTTCTCTCAATTCAACCTGCAAAATATAGACACCCTGTTAATACGGACACTTTCTGTAGACCCTCCGTGTCCGTGTTAACGGGGTTTGACTGCAGCCCCCAATGTGATAATACTGCAAGACTAGTGCATATGTCATGTCTCCCCGTAAAGGAAAATCTAGAGTAATTGAATTTTTCTTTTTGTGCTATTAAATCGCAAGGAGTTCAGAAATGATAAGTGTTCATACTTAAAGAAGATAAAAACCAGTTACAACTATCGCCTGGTGTCTCCGGAAAAAATCTTGTCACCAGGGAAGATTGCATAAGTTTTGACCCCGCATCCTTTCTGGAATTTGAGAATTCATTCAAGGATGATGTTTTAAAGGCGACGATCGGGGAGGCCAACGGGGTAGTGGGGCGGGATCGGGCTTGTATGGAGTGTCTACAACGTAAACTCGCTCCTTTGAAGAGAGTTTGAGAACCACCACTGAAGAAGACGACAGATAAGTATTTGCGCTCTGGCATAATTTGATAAATGCAGGCAAACTGTTCCAGAGATGAGTTCTTAAGTCAGTGATAAGATCGTCCTCGCTTGCTTACGTCCACGTCGAAGATGCGCGGTTACGACAAAGGAATATACCAAGAGAGGGTGTTTCCGTACCGAGTTTTTATTTCACGTTCTTTCGCCATCGACTCATGAATGACTTGTCGATTAACGTTTTTAAGATGATTTCAATTACTTAGTTTCAATACATTTTTTAATCGAATCTTATAATTGTCTTTTTAATTGTATTTATAGAGATATTTTTACTAAACTTTTATTTTATATAATATTTTAATTTTATTATATTTATTTATTTATTTATTTTTATTTTTTTGGGTAGGGTGCATTTCATCATATATTTCAATGCTATTTTGCGCCTAATAAACTGTAAATTATTATTATATCGTGACATCTTAAATTCACCAATATTTAACCTTTCACCTATTGCAGGCATTCAAACATCCCTTACGCATCCAAGAATATTTGGAAAGAAATATGCCCCTTGTAGACAACGACTTAGCTCTGAGGAGGTTTTCCCCGATGGATTACGGGCAGCCCCTCACGGAAGCTGTAATTTGTCCCTACAGTGGTTGCCCGTTCTCCACCGGCGATGGAGAGGCGATGAAACGCCATCAACAGGAGAACAGCAGACACCCTGGATGGGGGGCGCTACGAAGTCAAACCCGTGGAAAAGAAGTGGATCTGCCCTAAAGAGGTATGCGGGGCATCCTTTTTGGCCAGGGACCATCCTTACCGTCATATGATGGTCCACTCAAGGCCTCTAGGGCCGCCAAGAGCACCCGCCTAAAGAAGCACATGGAGGAAAACGGCCATCACTCGGCGACAAAGGCCGACGGAAGTCATGCCCATTGGAAGAGAAAGAGGGGAAGCTCGTTACTGAAGGAGCAATAGCTCCTCTCCCGGCTTTCCGATTCAGGCCCCAACCACTCGTATCCGGATGTTTCTGAAGACGGCGTTTTGTCCTCCGTTTCAGCCTTCCGTCCACACAACACCGGCGTTTTTGGCCATTCCTACCTCACATTTTGAAAAACGGGTTCCCTGAAGGAAGAATCTTGCATGAGGAAGCCATAACACCTAGCAGCTCCCACAAGCTCGTAATCGAACATGGAATGTATAACTGTAATTTTATTGTGGTATTTCAGAAGTGCACGGGCTTTAGAGTGATCACTAAACCTTTTCGACAGTTCCTAGCTCAGCCTACGTAAACTTATAGTTTCATCTCATCATTTTCAAGATTATTTCAAATCCAAAGCCGGCAAACATCAACTACTTAGCATACTGGTAAATAGAGGGGTTAACGCAGAATGAAATAGAAATAGAAAATAGATTTGAAGATAAAATCAAACCCCAGTTTACAGACACTCGTTCACTTTCCCTCAATTCAACCTCAGTTTAATGTGGACTCCTCGTTAATACTGACACTTTCTGTGGACCCGCAGTGTCCATGATATCGTGGTTTGATTATAGCCCCAATGTGATAAGACTATGAGACTGAGGCTTATGTCATTTCTCCCCGGAAACGAAAATATTGTGTAATTGAATTTCTCTTGTTGTGCCATTGTCATCGCAGGGAGTTGAGAACCGTGAAAACATCATACTTGAAGGCCATCACAACAAGTTTCAACTACCGCCTCGTTAAACCAGAAAAAAACTTGGTTACAAGAGAGGAATGCCTTGAATACGACGCCTCATCATTCCTCAAATTTGAGGATTCCTTTCCAGACGAGGTGTTGAAAGCAACAATAGGGGAGGCCAGTGAAGGTAGATAAATTATTCCATTTCTTAAAAGACATGTTCGAGAAATCGAGCGATCATGAGTCTTTCACATCCTAAACTAGAATAACAGTCTCTTTTCTCTTTACACATACAGCTCTAAAACGCCTCAAGAGTGCGACCAATCAAGAGGAAACTTTTAATGGTAAACATGAGGATTACATTAAATGGCTTAAAATTTTTAAGGGTAGTGCGGTCACCTTTAAGGTGCTTTCTCAGTTTCCTTTTTCCTTTTTCAGACCAGATTCCTGAACTATGACTTTTATTTGTTTCCCATGAAAGTACTTGGAGCCATACGCATAGTAAGCGCGGCAGATACCTATCGCCGGTCATTTCATGTATAAACCTCTCGGAGCAAAGGAGAGAACCAACAACAAACTCAACCCACATATGGCGTCGACGCCAGGATTCGAACCCGGGCCACATTGGTGGGAGGCGAGTGCTCTCACCACTGCGCCACCCTTGCTCCCTAATGTATTAAGCTTGTCTGAATCTGATTCATACGGTTTAACTCATGCGATCACACAGGCACATTTCTCAATTCACCGTTTCCTTTTTTCGGAGATACCATTACTTTACTAAAAACAGGTGTGGATGGTGACCTTACTTACCTGACGTTCAAATGCCTTTATAAATTGATGACTCTCTCGGCTGTCTCCACCTCCTTTTCACACGTTATGAGGAATAGTTGGACATAAACATTTAAGATCTATTGGTTTGACTATGTGGCTAGATATTTAACACTTTTGGCCGTATTACATAAGATCCGATTGACCCAATTTTCTTATCTTTTGATCATAGGTTTGAATCGGGAGAAATTGGAGACACGTTTAAAAGCAGCAAAGTTGCGTGCAGTGGCTCAGTTTGCCACTGCGCGTAACAATGAACATCATGACCGGCAGTGGGGACTTCCCCAAGCACCAAACCCCAACAAGGAGGTGGGAGTCCTATATAATATGGGAGAGCATTCCTCATATTTAATCGGGAAAATAACGTTCCCTAGATCCAAGTTCTCAACTTATTTGGAGGGTCCATTCAAATGACTCTTGGACAATATATATTTGCTATTGGTGACCTGAAATGCGACGACGGGGTTGGTAACGAGAACGTCAAAAAAGGAATACGTTAAGATGATCTAAGATTAGCAAAATAACAACTTTGCACGTGCATCACGCTTTTTTGTACATTTCTTTGCCGTCACAGCACGACTACAACGTGAAAATGCCTAATTTTACGATAGACAAGTTACTACGAAATTTTCTCTCTCTCTGAACCTGGATATGGTTTCTAGGAATGTAACTCCAGGAGAGTTCGCTTCAAAATTTGACAAAGTAAGTTAGTGGGAGCTGTCGCGGCGAAGGTTGAATGAACGCAAATTCACTCCCTCGGATCTTAAGGTCCCTATTGCAAGGGGAGCAGTGTTGTATGTGCTAAAACGTAAAGGTCGCCCAAATTTATAACAGGGAGTTTGAGAATTACTAAGACTAGATGACGACAGATACGCAATCGCGATTTGCCATACTTTGATGACTGAAGACAAACTATCCTGGACATGAATTCTTTTGTGATAAATTGGTTGTCACCTGCTTATGTCCGAAGTTGCGCAGTTACAACAGAGGAATGTAAAAAAAAGGGTGTTTTCTTACCGAGGCGGTATTTCACAATTTTTGTCCACCGTGACATCTTAAATTCACCAGTATTAAACCTTTCACCTATTGCAGGCATTCAAAGATCCCTTGTCAATAAAGGAATATTTGGAAAGAAATATGCCACTATCAGAAAACGACCTAGTCCTGAGGAGGTTTTCCCCGGTGGATTACGGGCAGCCCCTCACGGAAGCTGTTATTTTTCCCTACAATGGCTGTCCGTTCTCCACCGGCGATGGAGAGGCGATGAAACGCCATCAACAGGAGACCAGGCACCCTGGATGGGGGCGGTACGAAGAAAAGCCCATTGACAAGAAGTGGATCTGCCCTAAAGAGGTATGCGGGGCATCCTTTTTGGCCTGGGACCATCTTTACCACTGCAACAGGTCGGTAAGTTCATTTTCTTTACCAAAACGTGGAGTCATTACTGCATGCGGAACCAATTCGAGGGAAAATAGTTTTAGTGGAAGAGGAGCCTCTGGTATATTTTGATGGACGAAAGACGTGTTCGCCAACGACTCTAGTACGGAAAAGGAATCTTGCCTCTCAAAAACTGGTTATGATCTTCCTTTATTCTTTTCAGGGATTTGCCACTACCTTTATTATTAACCAAATGATTGAAAATGATGGGGTCTTCCCTAGAGAGGCCATCTCCACCCTGTGTCGCCTCGCAGGGTGGAGCGAGAAGGGGGGCACATGGGCCCTATACATTAAAGAAGTAATGGAGTGGCACTTAGACTCAAGTGCCTACATCTACAGGTAAAAGCATGCATATGGGGTATACTTGAATCGCTTATATGTGCCAATTTTGTATGAAGAAGGGCAAATGCACGATTTATTGAAATAGCTGGGTCTGGGTCGCGCTGATTGATCAAGGTGGTAGTGCATTTTTTTCCACTTTCTTCCTTGTCTTGGTGAAAGTGAGACCTCTGCGGCTTGTGGAAAGAGTCTCAAGGTGAAGGGCCTGAGAAAAAAGGGCTCAGGTCATCTATCCTCAGGCAAGCAGTCGAAGATCTAATCATTATATCAATCAAATTAATCAATCAAGAACTTTAAATCTCAAACAACAATAAAAGTAGGAAGAAAAGAATAAACATGTACTCCATTTTTCTCCTTTGACCGAGGGATCACCGCACGACGTTGCCATTTTGGTCTTTCTTCTCTTGCCGGTGCCAGGGGCATTTCTCCTCGCACCTTAAGAGGCACACAACAGAGGGGATTTCATCCTCCGAGAGGGGGCCAAATCTTGGCCGCTTTTGTGCCACATCGACACATCCAGTGGCAAGACAACGTGAGTCCTAAATCACACATTCTTTCCTATAGTGTTTCTTTTTGGCACTTGGTTGAATAGCGCTTGTTATGCAGAACACACCACAATGGAAATAGGGAAGAAAGTTGTCCGGATGTATGACGACAACAGGAATGTACTTTATTTGCAAATAGTTTACATATCTTACCGAAGAAAAAAACATGCAACCAAACAGGATGGAATGATAATGTAACTGCTCCATCCATTCATTACAAGGCACAAGCTTAATTTTCAACCTTATTGTTTGTCTGAGGACATAATTATCAATAATTCTTTTAGGACTTCTACTGTAAGTAATTAGTTGCTTGTAAACAGGAATTCGGGTAATATGAGAGTATTTATATCTATCAAGGATTCTATATGGATAGCATTTAAATACTTATTTATCGTCTATGTTTTCTACAAAACTTTAAGCAACGGAAACTTCACACTTTATAGTAACAAATCCTTAGAAGTTTTTACTTCCAGATGCCGTTAATTTTAAATTCCTCTAGCACTACCGCTTAAGATAATGCAATCTTTTCTCGGTGTTTTTTCTTCTTTTAGAACAAAAGACCACTCAAAGATCTCACCAGCCCTTTAAAAAAAGTGGTTATCAAGGTCGGGTTTGACATGTGGAGAATTACCCACCACTGCAACAGGTCGGTCAGTCAGAACTGCATGCAGAACCAAATCGAGGGAAAATAGTTATGGTGGAAGAGGAGCCTCCCGAATGTTTTGATGAACGAAAGACGTCAGTGCTCGGCGACGAGTATCCGGAAAAGAAAACTTGCCTCTAAAAAACTAGTAGTGCCCTTTTTAAATTCTTTTCAGCGTTTTGCCACTACATTCATCATAAATCAGATGACAATGGTGTTTTTCCGCCCGAGGCCATCTCCACCCTGTGTCACCTCGCAGTGGTGTCAAATAGATTTTATCAAGGCAGCTCTTAGTTAATTTACTTGCTATAGCATTTCCTATCATTTTGATTCCTTCATGTCTGTATTTTCCTTCTATGAAGTTGCATTATATTAGTCCCCTAATGTTTACTTTATTATGCTTACTCGTAGTAGGTCCACATCAGCCCTTTGGCTGCCTTCCTTCTCCAACATACTTATCAAAAAAGTAAGTATTTATGCAAGTCCTCCTACAATCAAATCGTTTGCAACGCATGAGATCCGTAATTTGAGCCCACAAGGCATATACAGTGTATATTTTACGGAGGGAATGTTGTTGTTGTTGGAACTCTCTGTAGGACTCAGGCATCGAAGCCAGTCTTTAAAAACCTTGCTCTTTTTTTATCCATCCGTCGCTACCCTGAGCTATTTGGAATGAACATGGGACCACTTGGGTCTTTTACATCAAAGAAATTATGAAAAGCCACTTGAATTATAGTGCATACCTTTACAAGGAAAAGTGCACACACCAGGTACATTTGATCTGTTTAAATCAAAAAATACACAAAGAAAAATCCATCTTTGAGCAAAGAGACATGAGTCAACGATTCGAAATTGCCTGACAGACAGCTTTAAGTAAGTTGGCACGATGACTAATTATAACCAGCGAATTTTGCCTTTTTGATAAAATGCACCAGATAACAGCAAGAAAAAAGGATCGAGCCAACAACTGCTCAATTTGCACCCCAAGAAAAGTCGAAAGGCACATTTATGACAGTGGCATTATTGCCTCAGTCAGAGGTTTCTGAAATTCCCTGCCGTTTTCCTGACAAATGCAAAAATTTCCTGAGCAACTGAATAAGCGGTTTCAAAAAATTAGTCCTGATAATGAACTCAACGGAACCGTTACCTCACAGCCACTCTCTCCACCCATAAATTTACGCTTTTAGCAAGTCACGTGCAGTGTAAAATTAATGAATTGATAGTTCCTTAACAAAACTTGTTCAATTTTATGAACAACATTCGAACAATACAATGTGATTCATGTCCGTAAAATGAACAAAAGAACTTTAAATGTCAAACAACAATAAAAGTAGAGAGAAAAGAATAAATATGTACTCGTCAAATTTTACTTTTCCCTGACTACCTTCAAAGAATTAAATTTTCCCTGACTCGAAGTGAAATTCCCTGACTTTTCCCTGAGCTTGAAGAATTTTTTCCCTGACCATTTCCTGACCTGTGGCAACCACAAGTGGGAATTACCACAAGACCTGAATACCGACAACACACTGTACCAGCCGTATTCAACGTTAAAATATATTCTCCAAAGTATTGTAGTATACACCATTTAAACCTTCCCGCTAACACTATAAAGGGCCATTCATTTAACTTTCGCGGGTTCAGAAGGTTGATCTGGTTTGTGCATTTTTTCAAGCCTTCTGGGGAGAGATTTTTTCCCTTGAATCTTATCTAATACGTACAGGACAACAATTACTATTCCTTGCCAGAAGCAAGTGATTTGTTGCTCGGTTCATTTCCCGTACTGGAATATTGTCAGCCTTCTGAAACAGTACATAAGATAAGATGTCTGTCCCCTCACTTCCCACCAAATATGTCAGAATATAAAGAACCGTTAACAACTCAACATCATGACGAAGAATAGTAAAAATCACGATGAATCCCCAGACAAACATTATACATTCTTTAAGACCTCTGGAAGTTCAGGAACTAAAAAACAGAGCCCACGCCAAAAGCCCTCCGAGAACAAGAAATTTCTTTCAACATCTCTCAAACCCTTTCGGAACGTTTCCGTCCATTAGACAAAAACGTCTACTAAAAGCTCACACAGATACGGTGCGTGCGAAAGCAAAAGCTAAAGAGAAGCGACTTTTCAACCACTTTTTGCAAAGTCAAAGCTCACTGGTTAAAAAACTCGACAAGAAGTCTGAAGACACACATAGTGCACAGCTCAAAACAGTCTCTGTTATGAAAAAGAAAATTGCCTTAGCTGACTGTAAATACAGGTCAGATGGCACGCAGGACTGCGCGGGCCTCCCTTCCAAAAAGTATGGACGTAAAACAGTCCAGCACCCAACTCAATCGCCCCTCACAGGTTTCTGAAACCAGATGCTGCAACAGTTGTACGTATCGTAGTGGTGCCAAGAAAATGATCATGATAAAGAGACAGAAACAAGAGTACCAATGGCAAAGTGATGCCAGTAAAACAGAAACAGTCCATTCTGAAAAAGAAGCAAGTCTTTCAAATTGACGTACAGTTCAAAGTTCAAAGGCAAAAACAGTTTGCACTTTTTTAATTTTTTTTTTTTTTTCAATAAAATATCATTTTAGGTATTAACTGCTTAACGCAATTTTTTTTGTAAAGAAGTGATTGCTTTTTGGCCCTCAGTTAACTAAACATCACATAATACAAATTACAGGCACGTTAGTATTGGACACGCTTTATTTATCATTTTAATAAGTCCACATGTCCTAATAATGTAGCAGATAAAAGTTGTTTTCAATGTGTTGCCTAAGTCATTTTTGAGGTCAGTTTTTAACCTCATTAGAAATTTGTACAAGCAGGCTACCGTCATCATTCTACTATGACGTTGTATTGTAATACTTTTCTAAATTTGTACCATTCAAACCTTTTAGCGAACACAAAAGGGACTGTTCATTTCACTTTTACACAGGTAGGGAAGGTTGATTTGTTTTGCGCATTTTTTCAAGCCTTGTCCGCGCGACAATACCCTGTAGCTCGGGAGAGGCATCGTACATTCCAAGTGAGTATTTTTTACAAATAGTATCATGCGTAGAATACTGAGTTCAATCATAATTAAGTAATCGTATTAAAAAATTCTTTGAATCATGGTGTGTACAACTTCAGACAAACAAACTTCAAGGACTTTTCAAGGGCAAATTTGGGTTTTCAAGGACTAAGATTTTTTTAAAGGAGTCATTTACGATTTTTACTTCTTCGTCGTTATTATCGTCCTCGCTTGCTTACGTCCACGTCGAAGATACGCGGTTACGACAAAGGAATATACCAAAATAGGGTGTTTCCGTACCGAGTTGTTATTTCACGTTCTTTCGCCATCGACTCATGAATGACTTGTCGATTAACGTTTTAAAGATGATTTCAATTACTTAGTTTCAATACATTTTTTAATCAAATCTTATAATTGCCTTTTTAATTGTATATATAGAGATATTTATACTAATTTTTTAGAGTTTTTTTAGGACATTTCACTGGTATAATTTTATATAATATTTTACTTTTATTTTTTTATTTATTTTTATTTTTTTGGTTGGTGCGCATTAGATCATATATTTGAATGCTATTTTGCGCCTAATAAACTGTTAATTATATCGTGACATCTTAAATTCCCCATTATTTAACCTATTGCAGGCATTTCAAGAGCCCTTAAATATCCAAAAATACCTGGAAAGAAATCTGCGCACAAGCGACAATAATCTAGTTCTGAGGAGGTTTTCCTCGGTGGATTACAGGCAGCCCCTCATGGAACCTGTAGTTTGTACCTACAGTGGCTGCCCGTTCTCCATCGGCGATGGAGAGGAGATGAAACGCCATCAGCAGGACAACAGGCACCCTGGATGGGGGCGCTACGCAGACAGACCAGTTGAAAAGAAGTGGATCTGCCCTAAAGAGGTATGAGGGGCATCCGTTTTGGCCTGGGACCATCTTTACCGTCACATGATGGTCCACTCAAGGCCACTAGGGTGCTCCGTATGCCCCCCCGCCAAGAGCACACGTGTAAACAAACACATGGTGGAAAGCGGCCATC